AATTATTTTTTCCAGATACCACTCCTTCCACAATATTTGGGAAACAGATGAAACATTTACTGCGTTATCCCAAACTGAGTTGTGATGGTTTTATTAAAAAATAGGCAATATATTTAGCACACATAAAATATATTTTTATAAAGGTATTATAAATATATTTATACTGCTTTATTTTACATTATTACATGTATTACCACTTAAGGACTTGCTTTATAATAGGCAGTAGTGCTACACGCTAATGAAGACAACAGATTTCTTCTGGAAAAAAATACAGAAAGAAGATATCAATAAGTTCAGTTAACAAAAGAAAAACACCACACAAAAAAAAAAAGAAAGAAAGAAAGAAAAAAAGATAATAAATGTGCAGTGCTGAGCTTTAACATGACTGGGATCTGAGTTAAAGGAAGACGACGGCTTACCCGCAGCGCTCCAGAAGCAGGCAGGCAGCCGCTGTTCTCAGGGACAGATACTGCAGTCTCATCTGCTCTGCAGTAAGGGTGCGTTGCCCTCGGTGCTCCAGGTACACTCCAGGAATAGTAGCTGTGTGCCAGAGAACAGAAGAGATGTTATATGCAAGTGCTAATTACACGTGGCTGCTTTGGAGTAGTCGCTTCATTCAGAATACCTCTTCACTACAGAACGCATTCGGGAGCGCTGAAATGTGACAGTGATAAGAAAGCCACCCTGAATTCACTTGTACAAATTCACATAAGAGCTATTTAACATGAAAGCCCTTCAGGTGTTCTGTAAATTTTCAGGTCTGCAGACAGTCAGCTTTACGAGGAGGACAGGGATGGTACTGTTTGACCCCAAAGTGCCGGCCTTCCTCCCTGCATCAGAGCAGAGCTGTGCGTCCTGCCGTATCTCCGTGCCTCACGGTGCCCTGTCCTTCAGCTGCCAGCTTCCACCTCCTTCCCTGCACCCCGGCTCCTCTGGCTGCACGCTCAGTCACACAGGATCTGCACGTTTACAGCACAAAGCAAGGCACTCAGAATTCTAACTAATATGGGAATATTACAGTTATTCTGTACTCCCAGAACAACCCCGCGCTTGTTGGAATGCTGAAATCCTGAAGCTAAGCATCTCTGAGAATTAGTTTCTGTATTATTTCTATTTTATTTTTAACCCAGAGACAGTTCCTAACTACTTCAATTTAGGAAATAACAAAACAGCAAACCTTGAGTTACTGAGAGTTAGCACACATGTTAAAGCAGTGGCAGTACGTGTGATGTGCTGAAAAAAAACCACAAACCCTTTGTTCTAAGCTATTCCAAACAAACAAAACAAGTGGTTTTGTTCAAAACAGGCTTTCATAACTTCCTTACAATTTTTTGCTCCAAGATTTTTCTTATTCGTGCAGTCGTGTTGGAGCAGCTGTTAGAATAAAGCCAGGACGAAAGCAAAGGGTTGACGATAAGTAGAATCAGGAAGACCTGCTCAAATTAATTGTTTTTGAAGAGCACTGAAGCATCCAGAAGAAAATAACGTACTGTGCACAGAAAGGTGCTGAGGGCTGAGCCATTAACAACAGCAGAAATTCCTTTTTTCCCCCAACGAGTGATTCCGTTTCTCAGTGTGTTCCAAAAGGCTCAATTCTCTTAAATCTGAAACTTTTCTGTCTATTGAAAACAGATGGAAATGAACGGGGGGACCCAGGTAGAAGAAGAGCTTTAATGAGCATGTATTTAAGAAATACTTCAATAAACCATTCGTCTGAGAAACCACATCTAATAGAAATATAAATAATTATCTAACGAGCATATAAACTACATTTCCTGGAGTCATTTCTGTCTTTCCACATTTCCTGAATTATTTTCATTATGAAGCAGTAATGTGGCACCATTAATTGATGAGCGCTCTGTGCTGTAGTTACTGTGCTAATTGCAGCTCTCGAGGTCCTTGTCTCCACCGTCTGACAATCGGGATTGATTGCAGGGGGGTTATTTTTAGTGGGAAACGGCAGAAGAGTTTGGAGAGCAGCAGCCATTTCTTGTGCGTTACAGCTGGCTTGGGAAAAGTTGCACAGAAATGTCCCGAGTTGTCTTTTTGGGTTGGATTTTTGTTGTTGTTGTTTTAAATCCTGCTGAATTTAGAGCTTCCTATTGGATAATTAATCTTGCTTTTACAAAGTTGAAGCAGAGAGTATAGCTCATGGCATTGGTTTCAGAAGAAGCGCAGATTTCCTCTGGAAGCAGGACTTGTAATGGGGGCAGACGGTGAACTTTATGAGTCTGGCTCTTTACAAAGGCAATCTAGGAGTCAAGTTTATAATTAAAGATACCGTCGATGATTCGAGCTGGCTAACTTATCCAAATTGTGGAATGAAGCAGTTTGTTCATTGATGTGTTCAGTGATTGCGGGTCTGCCTCCACGTGCTCTATGCCCACGCTCAGCAGGTGAGAATGGCAGGAGACCCCTAAAGCCCTTCTGTCCTGCATCCTGCTCGCCTGCCCTACACGGAGCTCAGCCGAGGCTGTCAAACACGTGGATTGCAGTTTGCTGCTGATCTACTGTATGAAATCAGGAGCATCTTCTGTGGATGTTTATATAAGGGGAGTCAAGGTTTGTGTAGGAAGAATAATAGTGAGAAATATTTAGGAAGAGGAATAACCAGTTTTAACTGGGAACAAATAAAAGTCAAGGGGACAAACCCTTTTTACCTTTGTTAAGTATTAATAGCAGATAATAACCTATCACCTGTTTCTTTCCTATTAAATTGTATCATAAGTAGCAGTAACGCATCAGCAAACTTACAGTGCTTTACCACTGAGGTGTCTTTGTCCCCATTTCTCTGTGGAAGTAGCTGAAAAACAGAGTAACTGGGTATGGCTGCACAGGTTTGGTCGAGTCAGAGAGGAGCTGTATTTCATGGCTTCAGCCTTTTTCCTTTTCAGTGGCATGCCACAAAGCATTATGGACTTAGGCACATATAATGCATCATTGATTCACAACTGCTAGTTTGCCTGGGGAAAAAAATAAAGAGACACACACCATTGTAAATGCTGCCAATCTTGTCTTCTTTCAGACAAAATGCTAAAAGAAAAAAAAATAAATTAATGTCGTAAAATGAATTTAGCTCAGTTTGAATAGCTCGCCTTAACAGAATGGCTGCAAGGGATTGTCTTGCAATGTTTTTATCACTGAATCTATTCCAGTCTTACAAATGGTAAATCTCAGAGCAAAACTTTACAATAAATGAAACAAAATTAGATAGGATTAGATGCATTCCTCATTAATACGCTGTAGCTATTTTCCGTAGCTTGTTTTACCGTAATCTTTCTTTTTCCTCTGATCACATACAGTCTGTCCTGCAGGGATCGGTGCTGTAAGCAATTCCTGGGCACCCTCCTGTCATTGACACTGGGATTGTGAAGTGCAGATTTCATCAGCAGTGAAAATACAGTTTTTGCAAATGGAATAGTTAGTTCCTGAAGCTTCTCACTTGTAGCACACTGTCTAATTTTAGCATTGCGATTTCAGGAGTCAAATTAACAGTTCAGACAGGGGCTTTATAAAGTACAAACAGCTGAAACTTGCTACAGGTATCTCTGAGGAGCAGTCAGTGGCATCAGAGGGATGCTGGGCTGTAGGAAAACTGAAGGACCTGGGATAATATGCGTGCTGCTGAAAGCGCTCCCCTGCACTGCCTGGGGACAGCTGAGCTCTGTCACCAGCTGAGCACACCCTGATGGAGTCAATCCCATTTTAAGGAGGCAGCTCAGCAGGTACCACGCCGGCCTCATCCACCAGCACAGGAGGCTGCTGCTGTTTCAAACGTGAGCTTGCTTTTGACAAAGGACTCAGCTGAGAGAGGCACAACTAACATTGCCAGGATCAATTCTCAAAAACTTCAGGCTTTGGAAAACAAGGGGACCTCTGAGCATATGAGAAAGCATTTAAAGAAAGGATATGCATTTGTGCTCCTTTGTGTAAGTACCTCCTGAAACAAGGTGTGTGGGATCAGAGGCAGAAGACTGAAAACTCTTGGAAACAAAACGTTCCCATAAGAAGGGAAGTGGAAGGCCAAAAGAAAGTTTAAATTACCGTTTGCAGGAAACTGTACCCAGGGGTGGTTTCTGATCAGACAAGAAGCATTTCTGCTTTTTTGACATTTCCTGGTGAATTAACCTGGAAAACAAGCTGTAATTCAAGGCCTTTCCCCAGAGAGGAGAGCCTTTGAGCGCCGCACGGCGGCCATGCTCAGCACACCCACAATCTGAAGACCCAGCACCCCAAGCACCTGCTTACACCTCTGCTCCTGACATGCCAGTGTGCTGCTCTCCCACAGGAAACTCTCCATTGTGACTTCTGTATGCAGGAAGGCTGTGGGCAGCAGAGGCAATAACGTTTCTCGGTGGATGTAAATGGATTTATTGCTGTACATCTGGGGCAAATTTGGTATGCTGTCTTTTTATTATTATTATTATTAGAAATAATTGGGCTAAGTAGCTTTAGGTTCATTGCATTTCCCTTGCAACTAGTCTGAAATCAAAAGAATGGATTGCTGCACATTCATTACACTGAGCTTAGAGTTTATGCACAGGGCTGCTATGCACAGGGTGTGTCTGTACCAACAGATCCTTACCTGTCCTTTTCCAGTCCTGGATCCCAAAGGGGAATCCAGCTCTCATTGAAACAGTCTTGAAATTGGGAGTCCTTGTAATCTCACTTGGTGATGTCACCGACACAAATCCCAGAATTTGACCTAGTGTTGATCTGTAATGCTTCATGGGAAAATGTACTTTAAAACACTGGGCATTGCAAATTTTGAAGGGGCTGAGAGATGAGCTATAGTCCTGGTGTTCCCATCTTCACAGAGCACAGTGACATCTTGTGGCAAATTAAGGGATAGTGCCTTTTTTTTTTTTTTCCAGATAGATCCTAATTTCAGCTGTTTCAGGGATGAAACTGCTGAGAAAATTCTGGACAAGTGGTAATGAATTACTTTTATCTGTGTATTTGCCCTTTCCCAATTTTGTTTCAAGTACAGCTTACCTGGAACTCACAGAGAAAACAGACAGAACCTTGGTTTCTGTCTGCTGCAGGTGCAGGACGTTGTAGTTTGTGGCTTCTGCTCACCAGCATGCTTTGGAAAACAGCTCCAAGAACACGGCTGTCCCAGGCTAGCTGACATAAGGCTCTGAATCAGCACTGCACATGCTTTTCTCTGGTTATCATAGACAGCAAAAATGGTCAGGTTGCGATTGATGGGAATGAAAAGAAAATGTTGGAACCTTTTATCATAAAGCAGAAGCTATTTTTCCCTCCCATCATCTTTTATTTTTATATCTAGTTTTTTTAATTTATATATATATATATTTGTCTTTTTACAGACCGAGGAGGGTCTAACCCCTGCCTGTGATGCTGTGGACCCTCCCCTGGCACTCTGTGCAGTTGATACTTGGATAGGATCCTACTTGTCAGCATGAAAGGAAAAGCTGCACACTGCGACTGGAAATGTGCAGCCCAGAGGAAGGCCTCTCCCTGCGATCGATACAAACACGCCTGTGCTGTCTGCAGAGGATTTGTTTACCTCTATGGAGGGCGGAACACCACCAGTCTCAGAGATTTTTGGCGGTACAATATAGGTAAGTTTGCCCCTTCGCTTACTGGTCAAAATAAAAGAGAAAAATGCATCCGGTCATCCTGAAACAGGGGACACTCCAGAGCTGACAGCTTCTCTGGTTAGTGTTTCTCCATCAAAATAATGTTGTACCTCAAGCAGCTACCTAAGCTTTGTAAATGTTTTCAGAGATCAAAGGATGCATGAACTACATTATGATCATTGGGCAAATGGTGGGATTGTTCCTGGTGTAGGTGTCCCAGAAAGCTTGGATTTGAGCTCTTTTGTTTGGCCAGAAATACTGATTCATTTACAACATCCCATTTCTAGCTAAGGATGTGACAGAGATTTATTGAATCTTTAACATGGGAATAGTTTATTCATGGAAGAGTGCACAAAAGGAGTGCATGAATACAATACCTTGTAAGACTGCATTAGTAATGCACCATCAAATATGACATTTTCTGAGATTTAATGTATAGTGTTTCCTGTTCAATTGTTGTTAGTAGATAAAACTCAGAACTGCGTTCATGGAATAGCTGGGTTCATGGAATAGCTAACTGCACAGCATTAAAATAAAAACCAAACTGCCGTTCCACATACATTTGCTATATGGAAAAATGTACTTAATTGTGGAATTGTGGGGGAGGTGCCTCAGTCTTCTGAACTAACAGGGGAAGAGATGACCCAAGGCTTTAAGATGGCCTGCATCAGAGCAGCAGTTTTTCACTCTTCTTAATAGCAAAGCAGGAAAATGAGGAGATGCTTCTTAACCTTTACGCCTCATTGACTCTGGGTGTGCAGCCACATCCAAAGCTGATCCTTCCACCTTTTTCTTTTTGTCTAAATGTTGCATTCACCACTGTCCTAACCTGAGCTTTGGTTTATAGCGAGGAATGAATGGGAGCTGCTGGACTGCTCAGGAGATGGACCAGAAGAACTGGAAGAACATTCAATGGTGGCTTATAAGGTAATAAAGGAAAATCTACATTCTCCTTATCCTAACATTTATTTTCCTAATGTACAGTAAAATAAAATGCCATCTATTATTATATACTGGAATATTAGACCTCTGTGTCAGTGCCATTCTGGATGTAGCTGTACAGTGTTCTGGACTGTTTCCGTATCAAGTCCCAGCATTTCAGCTTAGCAGCCATGTGCAGCTCCCTGATTTCCTCACTTAACACTCCGTACATAATAGTAATACCAAATACAGACCTTGGCAGCACATTCTTTGACTTAGCTGTACAGTTGTAACAGTTGCTCTGAATTCATTTGCATGATAAGCAACAGCATGAAAACATTCATTTAGGAACTTGCATAGAAAAGGAACGGGGGAGTGAAGGCAAACAAGAATTACAGCTTTACTTGTAAAGGGGAATCAGAATTTAGGATATCAGGAGCTGCAGTGCAAGGCAATCCTCCTACAATTACATGTAACCTAGTAGTATTACCTGAGCAATTCCAGGTGTGCATCCCTCACGTTTTCCCACATGATGAGGAAGTGTGTGCTTCTGGGGTGCTGCCCCTGTTCAAACAGCACCATGTTCAGTGGGGCTTCCTACTGGGGAGGATAAAAACATGGCTAAAAGTTGGTGGCTTACAGTTGCCTCAAGAATTCTTAATAGGTTATCCTAAGCATTACTGTTGATTGTATTTTGATGCTGTCAGCCTTTTCATTTCAAAATTATTTTTGCAATTATTTTCATGCTACGTGCCTACCTATACATGGCAAATATCTTTCCATTTTGCAGGGCACCCTGTACATTTTTGGTGGAATGGTGGATTCTGCTTTCACGCAAGCAAAAACCCCTCTCTGGATATATGACACAGGTATGATGCACAATAGCCACTCTTTTCCTTAGACATTCTGAGGCCATAGGTACTAATAAATGGTAAGAACCAAGCTGCTTTCTGCTGCTTGTAACAAGCCTTCCCTAGTTCACAGGAAGAAATGTGTGTAAAACTGAGGACATAGTTTTCCTCTGAAATTAGGCTGTTAAGCTTTCTTTGAATCAGCTCTTCCTTTAATTGCAAGGTTATTAGCATTACTATTTAAGAAAGCATCATGTATTTTCATGCCTCTTTTTTCATTCCTCCTCCCTGCCCCAAATTTTCCATTTGACCTCATTGTGGCCTCTGCTACTTCACTACGTAACCTTAAGTCAGCGGGTTTATTTTAGCCTCTGTTTTCCAACATGGAAATACCTGCTGCTACAGCAGAGATTCTCGGATAGAAGCTCCTGTGTACCATGCATTTAACAGGAGGAAGTCTCTTGTTACTCACGGTACTTAGCAGTGAAAATTGTGAACGAGTTCTGCAGAGGTTTTGTACCTTTTTTTCGTGGTCGTTATTTCAGCATTTCCCTGCAAGTATAGCTTTCAATAACATGGACTTGCTTGTAATTCTTCCTTATTCTCACCAGAAGCTGAATATCTGGTACCTCTGGTCCTTCAGATCAGTGGTTTTTGACTGTTATCTGAGGACTGTTTTTAAGTGATCTGTGAAAAGGAATGAGAAAAGTAAGGCTGTGGTTGTAAGGTTTACATAATAAATAACAGGAGCCATACTTTCACTGGAAAAAATGAAGATTCTTCAGGTCCGGAAAGCCACAGGTTATTTTTTACTTTGAAATGTAGCTTTAGGAAACAGAAAAACCAATATGGCATCTCGGTGCTTTGATAGCAGATAAGGATACAGGAAGACTATCAAACTGTCAGCTCCCCGGCGCTGCTGTGTTAGGGGAAGCAGATTTCCTCATCCTTGTCAGTGGAAAACACCGAGATGAGGTTGACTTGAAAATGAGATTCGTAATTTGAAGCACTGCTGTTGGAGGAGCGTCCCCTTGTGGTCTGTGGTATAAACTGCGCTTTATTAAAACAATCCCCCAGACTCTGCGAGATGGACAGAGGGCCGCGACGTACCAGCAGAGATGGAGGTAAGGAGCCAGGAAGTGGCGAATGTGTGAATCAAATGCCTGTTGCTTTGTTGATTAAACAGATTGCTTTGAAATATGTTCCCCCAAACAGTTCCAAACTAATCTCTTCAGAGACATGTGGCTGCGCTTGCAATAATTAAGGCTTTTTCCTTCTTTACAATTACTGCTCTTAACTTTCTATATAGCACTGAAATTTTAAGCCCTCCACCACTTTTTCTGTTTTTCTAAAATCCTTATAAAGAAAAGCAATTTTAAATGATACATTGCTAGCATGAATGCTTTTGAAACAGGGGTCTGAAAACAGATGGGTGGTCACACTAATACATTTTGAAATGTGAAGTGCTGCAGCATTTTTTATTTCTCTAGTCTGAGCACATTGACTCCTTGAGATACTGCTGCTTTTAAATGAAACCTCAGTGTAAGCATTGAGGTAATGGTCTAATGGATTGGTTTTATATCAGTACGTGTAAAGAATGACCCGTGGGGTTGCTTCAGTTGTGTGTTTATCCTGCATTTTCAAAGAATTTTAACACGACCCAAAGCAATGGTTTTCATTACTTGGAAATATTCCCAAGGCAGATTGGTATGACTTTGTCTGTTAACATTTCTTCTTGTTTTATTACTAAACTATTTCAGAGTTTGGCACCTACTAACAGAAAAGGCCACAGTGCAGTAGTGTACCGTGCCAGCATGTACATCTATGGGGGATATGTTGGCATCAGAGGCATTTCACAGGAATTTTGGACGTTCCATTTTGGTAAGTTTAAAAGTTTGATACCTTTTGATCCAGTACAATCAGTGAAAAATGATGACTGCTGTGGAATAGCATGGTTTGCTCTGTGAAGAAAATTCCTATCAGCAGTAATGTTGCAAGTTAGATTTGGCTTCTGTTCAGCAGCATTTAATTACAAATTCTGTCAATTAAACTAATGCCCAGCTGAAATGAGTTGGACTGAATTATACTGGAGGAAGTTCTGCCAGTTTTTTGCCAGTATTTGCCAGTTTTAGAGCTGAGAAATCAGGGAGGATGGGGATGGTTCTATTCACTACGTTCTTCGAGGTTTACCGAAAACTTCCAGTTGCAGCAGAGACCTTCCATGACTTCAGAATCTTAAGTCTAGAACAGACCACAGAGAGCTAAACCTGGCAGGAGATGGTTCCACTGGCATGTTCATCATCAGTCTGGTGGCTGCAAACCCGACGATTCGCAGAGACTTTCTGAAATGGAAAGCTTTTGTTATCTGGTGGCCATTCGGGAGCTATGTTGAAATGAATGATGGTTTATCTTATCTTTCATTCCCTCTCAGGAAGAATGAACACAGACATTAATGAAAGAATGGTTTAGTTGATTGATTTTTCCTCTTCTACTGAGGAAATTATCTTTCCATGACAAAGCTAACGAATTACCTAAGCTGTAGAAGAAACTCCTCTGTAAATAAAATCCATGGCATCTGCCATACAGCATCTGATATTTTCATTATAAGTTTACGCACTTTTTTGGTGTCAGAAATTAAACTGTTAACTTCTACCTTAGTAAGGCTTGAGCAGAATGTCCCCATTCTCCAATGAAGTGGTTACTTTGATACTGAAATAAATCCATTCTCAAATATTAGGATGAAATTGGTAAATTTATGAACTAATGCTCTCCTTTCAGATACAAGGCAATGGCTGTATGTTTCCACCCTATCTCACAACACTGGCCCAGGACCTCGGCACGGTCATTCGGCAGTAGTTTATCGTACAGCCATGTACCTCTATGGAGGGCTGGTGGGGCTGAGTGAACAGAAAGATTTATGGAAGTGGGACTTTGGAAACAGCAGCTGGTATAACATCAGAACAAGGTACAGAATATTGTTTGTTAAACTACGCTGACACAGAAAGAGAATTAATCTTACCATATGATACCGCTTGCAGGCAGAGAGGAAAATGTTTCCCTTTTGGGGAAGATAGGGATTACTCAGATTAAGACCTGGTACCACTGCCATCCCTGAGGCTCCGGTTGGCTTTGCTGGGGAGTTGGCAACACGTTGGTGCAGCTGTCAGCAATACCATTTTGATGCCCCACTGCAGCTGTTCAGTGCTCATTCTCTTGAGTCAAAAGAAAAATAGAGGCTAAAGTCATCGTTAGATTCTTGTTGGTCTCCACATAATTGCTGTTTTTTCTTGTATTTAGCCAAGGACCTCCTCCAGCAGTAGGTCACGCTTCAGTAGTCTTCAAAGACTCAATGCTCGTTTTTGGTGGAGGGATTTCCAACTCCAGTCCTAATGAAGACCTCTGGAAGTACCATTTCCATACACAGACATGGAAGAAGCTAAGTGGCATTACAAAGGCAAACTTTTCTCCTAAAACATATCACTGCATGCTAGGAATTGGCGTTGGCTTTCAAACTACCTCAGATTTCACTAATTCATTCTCCAGACACTGGAAGAGTAAGAAGGAGCACCACCAGCTGGTGACCATCCCAAAGCACTCCTACTTCTGCAGCTACTTTCGCCAGCAGCCTGCATACCGAGCGTTCAGCAACGAGGACAGTGGTGCCATTGAAATGAAAACCTTTAGCTTCCCTCTGGAGCCAGTGGGCTTTTGTGCATTTCAAACCTCTTCAGAGGTGGAAGCAGACCCAAAGAGAGCAACAAGCATTTTGACAAGGGACGGGTCTGCCCCTCTGTTTCTCTCTTCTGAAAAAGAGACTTTTGCTGCTGCTGCACTTGTGGAACAAGAGGAGGGAACCAACTGTCAGCATGCAGCTGCAGGAGATGACGTTAGCAGCGATGCCAATGTGCTGCTGCTCATTGGAGGCAAACCTTTGTCCAGCTTCTCTGAAATCTCATTCTGGCAAACGGAGTTTGATAGCTTGTCATCTGTTTGAACGCAAAGCAAAAGAACAAATCCCCTCCAATGAGCTTAGGGGGCAACAAACCAACCAAACAGTGTTTTCAGTTTTCTGTCAGCTCACTGGGAAAAGAACAAAACCTTCTCACACATGCTATGCAGAGATTTTTTTTACAATGTGAACAAAAACCTCTCTATACATGCAAGCCACAACTGACATAAAAATTACAGTTCCCAGGAGGAGCTTGTTGGAACTTAGCTGCCATTGTTACTTTTCCCTTCTGATCACCTAACATCCTGAAGTCACTGTGGCTGATGCTGCATTGAAAATCAGATCTGCTGTAACCCCTACTGGCTCCGTAACTGCCATTTGAAATGTTTGCTCATCTTGTGGTGTGCCAAGTAAAAGATACACACCTCTAAAACTGCAGTGTAATCCAGTTTGGGCACGTTACTCGCACGTGTGGCTATGAGGGATCTGATGAATCCTAATGGCTTTTTCTTCAGAGAACCCTCTTTGCACAGTGTGTCCACAACAGCAGATAGCATATTGCATTGAGTATGTGAGCCTTTGCATGGTTTATTTTCTTTGTTTAAAACTTCATGAGCATTCAGATTCACCAAGAAAGGTGTTTTTTGGAGAGAGAACATCGTCCAGCATTTCAGGTATTTCTGTGTAAGTTACTGAGGTATCTGCCTTCAAGTTATTGGCCTTCTGGTTGAATTCAGCATCCTCTAGGAAGAAATTATGATGTTTGAAAGAAATATTTAATATTTCCAGTTTTTTTAAAAAGTAGTTCTCAGGAGTTTCATAGGAATTATGAATTTTAAGTGGAAGTATTTACAGGTACTTTCTTCATCTTTTCACAAGTTGCTGTCCCATGAAATCGGTACAAAAATTACAGATGGGTTTGCAAAAAGTTATTTAAGGATTACTTGGACCTTCAGTGACCTTTGGAAACTGAATTGTATGCTGCCATATAAGTAAAGCATGCTGCACTTCCCATCAGTGTGTTCTTGTTTTCTGTGCTTTCATGAATTTAAAATATATATTTACACTTTCCAAACAGCAAAGAACTTGCCTCTTGGAACAAACAGCGCACTCCCACAAGCATCAGCCATCTCACAGCAATCCTGCAGGCCATTGCTGCTCAGGCTTTGGATTCCTTCTCCAGGATCATGAATCGCTCACTTGGAGGAGGCACATTTGAGAACTTCTTACAGCGTCCAGGCTGAGCACGTGCAGGGCACTGCAGCCTTCACTCAGCAGCAAGCATTTCTTTCGCTGGCTGTTCTGGCATTATCCAGAGAGCTGCTGTAATATACAGACTTCTATCTAGGATTGATGAGGGAGTACAATTTATCTGGAAAGTGTAACAATAAACCAGTGATTTGCCAAGTGATGAGAAGGTCTTCTGGTATATCCACGTATCCTGGGGATGCAAACAGCCCAGGAAAACGCAATCCAGCCTCCACCATTCCTTTCGTGCTCCCCCCAGCCTCCCTTCTGGGAACTTTGGCAGCTCCAGAGAGGGTGTAGCATTTACTTGGAGCCAGTGCAGGCAGGACACGAGCCAGCTCTAAGGAGAAGGCCTGGCAGAGGGAGCAAAAAGCAGCTTGCAGGACGTGCCCATCTCCTCCACGTCCTCCCCCCCTAGAAGATGAGCCGACTTGGGGCTGCATCGACACTTCTGATGCAGCTCCAGCTTCTTCTCCAGGAAATCCTGAACATCCACCTCAGCCCACGGGGCCCTGCTGCACCCCAGCCCCTGTACCCCAGAGCTTGGGATGGAGCTGAGATGGAAAGGGACGGCACCCCACAGCCCCTCTGCAGCACGAGCATTCCTCTGCCTGGCACCTCAGTCTTGCTGGTCACGCAGCACTTGTATTTCAGGCCCTATCCCAAACCTGCACGCGGTATCCAGGACCCACGCACATAATCCTTGCTCATACCATGGTCTGATACTCCCTGAGATGTCCAGTTTCAGAACTCAGTGCCACCAACTATGCCCAGCAGTGTTCCCATCACCCCAGGTAGTTCCACTCCTGCTTTCCTGGTGCTGTACATTTGTTATTTGATGCAGAGGAACAGCAGAGGCTTTGTGAATGTGCTTCTGCTTTTTCTCCATGCCTGCAGCAGTTCGTGAGAATTCATCCTGGGCCCAAGCCAGTGACTAAAAGCTACAGCCATCTGAATGCTCGGAGGTGGCCTGCATGAAATAATGAATGGAATTAGTCCAGCTGATGGCAGCTACTTAGTGACAAACCAGCACTGATTTTTGGCTGGAAGCGGAGCAGAGGGGCTGTCACTGAAGTGAGATGTTCGAAGTGTCTCTGAAAAAGGGAAGTTTGCAAACCACGTATCACGAGAACAATTCCATCAGCCTTAATTATCTCAAACTCACTGTCTTTAATTACTGCTTGCTTTCTGAACATCAAAAAGAGGATTTTCTCTTAAAATACAGACACAATAAACAGGGTGGCTTTCAAATTAAAAAAAAAAAAGCCCATCTATTTTCAATATATTTTCTTATAAATGCATTTGAAGAACCATTGAGTCACTTACCAGTGGGATCTTAAGTTTGACCTACACAGAAAACATGCCACAAGGGAAATGACTTTCTAGGAGCTTAGCTATTAAGTTGGAACTATTTCACTTCACAGAATCATGGAATGGCCTGGGTTGAAAAGGACCACAATGATCATCTAATTCAATCCCCCTGCTATGTGGAGGGTCACCAACCACCAGACCAGGCTGCCCAGGGACACATCCAGCCTGGCCTCGAATGCCTCCAGGGATGGGGCATCCACCACATTCTTGGGCAACCTGTTCCAGTGCACCACCACCCTGAATGAAATTACTTCCTTGTGATACGTCATTGAGAAATTAAGATGATCAGATGGCTTGGATGTCCTCTGCTGCCTTAAGTAGAAATAAAGTTTCCTTTAACCCATGAGTAGCACCGCTGTACTTGGAAGCATAACACGATCCCCTGAACACTGAAAATAAAAGCCAGGTGGCACCGCTTCTGACTGCACTTTGTGGAACTACACGTGGCCCTTCCAACCCTCCTCCTGGGCACCACACCCTGGGCTCATTTTCAACACACCCTACTGTCTCCTTGGAAAATCTCATCTCATTTGAAAACCACCACTTAACTCTTTACCATCTGCAAGTGTAGATGTTATCTTACACTTTAATCAGTGGCAAAGCCGTTTGTTGGCCACATAGCTGGGGCTCTGAGCTCAGGGAGCAGCACTGCCAGCCCCAGTGACCCACTCCTGTCCCAGGTCTCAGCCCCCCTCCTGCCTGCCACCATAGAGCCCGGAAGTGCTGAAGAATGACTCCACAAGACATTTGCAC